TCAACTGTAACACCAATGATCGAAATCAGTAATACCAATGACTTAGCACTTAAAAACTAGCAATTTAACATAATACAACATGAAATTTTATGTGAAAGACAGAATACACTGCATGACTAACATACAGAAATGAAATAAGTTTCTGGGATTTCATACTTAAAATGATCTTATAACAAAAAAGAAATCTGGTAACACCAGTGACTGAGACATCCCATTGTGATCATAGCATAATACAGATTTAATCATTTAAAGCTACAAAAAAAATGAGGTGTACTGTCATTTACATTTAAAGAATACGTGATAAAATTATGTAGATATGTAGATAACTTTAAAAAAAATATAAAGGAGAAAACCCCCTTCAGAAGGGAAAATATATTTTCTGAGCATTAAAAAAATGTTTGTCATTGGTGTTACATCTATATATGATCTGAAGTTGTCATTGGGATTACCATATATTTGAAACGTCTGTAAGTGGGGGAAAAATATCTATTGGAAAATAAATAAAAATACTTTCAAACACCATAAATTAGGTTTGCAAAGTAGAATACAAATAAATAACTTTTCTAAATAAGAACAATATATTTTGCCTCCAAAAGTACTTGTTTTGCCAAAGGTGTAACCATTCCTGTCATTGGTGTTAAACTCTGGGAAGTAATGCCAATGACAGTAACACCAATGATGTATTAGTCATAAAATGATCTGGTATATTTACCCTGGATAAAGTAAAAGTTTTGTCCACATTGCTATCAATTCAACTAAAGAACATCTTACGTAAATGAGTTCAATGAATATCTAAAATTGTTTTGAAATAACGATGGAAACACCACTGACAAAAAAAGTCTGTACTAGTGTACTTTTTTACTTCTGAAGTCCATCAATATGTTCTGATCATGAATATCAAAGAACTTTTTCTGTTGTTACTTTGGTTAGAAGTGATGTAATATGACTTAGGACTGTTTATATTCCTAATTGTAAACTTTATGTAAAATTGTAAATTCTCTTTTTCAAATGCATTGGAATATTGCATTACAAAGAACTATCATCGTCGGAAACCCACGAGTTGAAATATCGTCTTTACTTATCACCTGGTGATAAGTAAAGATGAGATCATCTTTGGGTATTCGGTACGTGGTCAAACTATATGATATAAAAAAAATCATCTGACTTTGGCCTAAAACGTCAGAATGAAGTGATTATTTTGATTATTTAAAGAATACGCACAAATCGTCCCAAAAAAAAATGCATGTATATTTATTGAATCGAGAATTTCAGCCAATGTGTATACATGTTTCCTGTAACTTTCCGCTAACTATAAATCTTATTCTTTTAAAATTAGCTGGGTTTTCTCATATATGAAGTTAATAATGTACGAACGTTAAAGATGCAGGATTCTTATTTTATTTCTTCAATTTACAATATTAAATTTCTAATTTTAGATTATTTACATCAAATTGATTTTTAAGGTAAATTAGTACATTATGAGATATTTTGTTGATAAACACAGATAAAAATCTTTTTTAACGGTTTACATATTTTTGAAATTTCTGTCAGATGGAACGTTAAATAGTTCCCTATGTTAAGGTATTTTGCATGCAACAGATATAAATTTCCAGCCGACAATGTCTGAAATCTTGCCGACTCGGCGTTAAGCAATAATCAATCAATGATATGTATACTGTTCAACATGATATTCTATTTACTTATTTATTCTCTACATTATGGATAATAGAAATTTGATGAAAAGACGATTGGGTTTTTATTAGGAGGGGGGGGGGGGTTGATAATGAAAGGCACAGAGTGGTTAATTTTTTGTCGAGCTATTCGTCCAATTACAACCAAGCGAGAGTGATAAGGAGGAAAAGAGGTTATATATGAACGAACTACCGGGTATTTGAAAGTGAATGTAGCTGCAGTAGAAACGGTTTTAGGAAAATAATCCTAATAAAATGAGCTAACTTTGAGACACAAGGCTAGTATCACAGCATGTTTGATTTCTCATAGTCGCTACAGGTGTATGTAAAAATGGATGTGATTTTTTTTTAAATTTCACTTAAGAATAATTATTGTAGCATGATTTTAGTTGTGATTTTACTGGCTGCATGGTTCATGAATTTTTTTAAGAAACGAGGCATTTCTGAGAGCGACCCCCTGTAAATTTGGACTCGCACTGGTTCCCTTTTCCTTTACATGGTGATTACGCAAAATCAAACATATTGTGTTAACTAACTTGCATGCTTTGAGGATACAGGCTTTATCAAACTTAAAAGCAGCATACATGTACATCTATATTTTGTTGATTGAAAGTTCAGTTGTTCATAGAGACGAATCTGTCGGTACGAAAGACAGAAAAGTAGAAATCAAAGATCTTTTTGGGGATTGAGTAGTCGGTTTTTAAAGAATTTAAAATACAGTTAACACAGTTTTGGGAATTGCACATCATGATCATCTATTTTTTTATAATTGACTTTTCAAGCATTTTAACTTAGACACGATAACCACTTGGACTGCTACGCGATGACAGGTGCCCCTACCGAACAACTGAGAATAAACCATGACGTCACAATTGAATCGTGAAAAATCAACCATACTATCAGAGTTAATTTTGCAAAGCATACCAGTTTCAAAATGTTATAACTTTGTTATAAATGAAGATATTTTCGATTCTGTTTCAGCTCTCCGTGATTTTACATGGACCATGAAAATACACGTAAATCTCAAATTCGATAAATTTTGCCATAAGGTCGATTTCTATCCGACGAGGCTCATTATATAAACTTTTCTGGCCAAATTCTACTGTGCCTAATGGGGTTTCAAGGTATGTTAACATAGGGGGTTTCAACTCAAAGACCTTTTCTATGTATTAATCTTGGGATTTGGATTCCTGGTTCATTCACCACGAAGAAAAAGTGAATGGCCATATGGAAGGCAAAAGATTTGTTTTTCACCGATGTGCAAAGACTTTTAGGCAACTGAAATTCATATTTTTTTATATCGTCGGTGCTATAACAGTGCCAAAAATCCAAAAATAAGAATCCAATGCTTACATTTACATTCTCTAATTTTCTCTCTGTATGATTGTAAATTACTAAATTTAGCGCATGTCAGACCTGATGTACATGTAAGAGCCGTTTGTGACATTAATTGTTAAATGGGGGAGGGGGGGGGTTGATTGATTGTACTGTTTAACGTCCCTCTCCAGAATATATTTCACTGATATGGAGACGTCACCATTGCCGGTGAAGGGCTGCAAATTAATTAGGCCTATGCTCGACACTTACGGCCTTTGAGCAGAGGGAGGGATCTTTATCGTGCCACACCTGCTGTGACACGGGGCCTCGGTTTATACGGTCTCATCCGAAGGACCGCCCCATTTAGTCGCCTTTTACGACAAGCAAGGGGGTACTGAGAACCTATTCTAACCCGGATCCCCACGGGGCCGGGGGGGGGGGGGGTGACATACAAATGTTATATTTTTATGTTAAATTATTCCATTGAATTTAATTAAATTGAGTTAAAACAATGCGCATTTTAACATTCCAAGAATATTGAAAAGGTATATGATTTCTACTATGTATTCTATTGGTTTGGTGTGTTTGATAGGATATTGAATGCAATTATATAAGAATTCCAATGGAATTAAAAAATGCACTAAATTGGAAGGTAATACATTCTTACAACCCGTGCGCATGTCATTTGATTAGCAAAGAATTTTCCAAACGCAAAAAATCACCGCTTCGGAGTATATATACGTTACTTAACCGAAACCCCGCATGTGCCCCTATTCACGGTGAAACGGCGTCAAAACGCCGAGTGGAAAAGTTGACTTACACCATGAAATGGTGCTTATCCCGGGCAGAGAGCACAATTTAAAAAAAAAAAATGAGTAGATTTGAAAATTCAATTCCAGTGTTTTTAAAATATTGCAGCACTTGAATAAAAAAAAATTTATGTCTCATTTTCCATAAAAACGGTACGATATTTTTCCGATGTAATTTAAGAAACAGATTTTTAATTTTTTAGCCAATCAAAATTTCGGGATTTAAAATTCTCGAACTGGACATAAAACTACATACTTTCAACCAATCAATTCTTTAAGAAGAAAATGAGTGGATTAACCACGTCAGAGAAGAAGGTGATTTACGCTTTATCATTGTGCATGTATAATCAATTCGCTGCATTTCATTTCCGCAAATCTGCATAACATTTCTAATATTTTTTAAAGTTTAATTTCCGACATTCATTTCTTTTCATTTCGGAATTGTATGTTACGTTAACCAAGTAGATGGAAATGGAATTTTAAAAGAATTTATTTCAAAGCTATTTTCAAAATATTAATAAAACATATTAAAGTTCTGCACATAGAAATCTGTACATCTTGCACTAAGTATACTTATAAGAGTTCAATGAGCAATTTTTTCAAAATCACATTTTTATTCATTGCGAAAGATAATCGCGCGGAAACGAAAGTGTTACAGACAGATAGACAGAAATACAGACGGACAGACAGACAGACCCAAATTAATATTCCCCACTTTCAGTGAAAGCGGGGGACAATAATACCTGAAGTAAGCAACAACAAAAGCGGCGGCGTAAATCGAAGGTTTTTACAACGCCTGTATTTGTATATTTGCTATTTAGATTACAGGCTCAATTGTATTGTTGTTGTAGGGAGGAGGGGGGGGGGAGCATAGAACAGAGGCAATGTCCTAAAAACTAAAGCGTGAAAAATAATCTGATTTTGGTTATACACGTACAACATACGGATACGTTTTAATAAACTATCATGAATGCTTTTGTGAGAATCTAAATTTTTTCTTCTTTAATGAAAATTCTAGTCCTCCATAGATTTTAGTTTGATTAATGCGACCAACTTGTTCACTGGTGCGACTCGAGCTTTTAAAACTGAGGTTGTATAACTAAACATCATGGAAAACGATTCTATATATAAACAGAACCATGTTTTTACCACGCTGTGAAAGCATGATTCCTGCTACCATTGTATATATATCTGTAATGTTGCATCATTATCCTGTGTTAACATTCTCTATATCCTATACAGGATCACACTTCCCTAGTGTAAGTACTACAAACTCTAATTATAATTCTTCGCTTGCATTTATTTTTTTAAAAGTATTTAAACCCTTGACATAAACTTCTCTTGATTTTTGTAAACAAATTTCTTCTGAAATATTGCAATATTCTCTCGCAGATGACTTTTTAAAAATAGGTGTTTTTAAAGACATTTTTATAAGATTCCCTTTGTCGAGAGCTTTAAACTTTGTAAATACAACTAGGTGCTATTTGCTATACACATTTACAGGTATTTCAAAGAAATCTCTTTATATAACATTATAAAATAATTATTTCAGAAATACTATAAAAATATTTTTAAAATGGCTTTCTATTAGGAATAAATCATATTATTAGTATCTGAAATTAGCTGTATGAATTATCATCATATCATTTCAAGGCCGTAAGCAAAAGTTACCGGGTTCAAGTCCTATAAAAAAGCTTTAAATATATTTAATGAACAAGCATTTTTAAGACATAATTAACTCTCAGTCTCTTTTCATAACCACAACAATAATATCGTAACTCGATGAATTGTGAGAAAAAATGCAGCCTTGAAAACAATTATCAGAGACTTAACAGAGTGGGAAAACTTTAACAGTGCACTATTCAATATTTTAGCTATGTAGGCCAACTCATTAGTATTTTAGTATTTCAAGAATGGTGCAAATGACACAAGGATAGTTTTTTTCCCCAACACTTGATTATGATGTCCGTCTTCGCGTCCTGTAGTATATCTGTAAGACATCAAATGTAATTTAATGATAAAGGTATTCAAAGATCAATTCCTGAAAATGCTGCAGTTTATTTGAAGCTATTGCAGACAAAGGAACAAACATACTTTGTTCAATTCTGTTTTCAATAACCAGGTTCTTGCAAAAGGATACCAACAAAAGAAGAAGCATTAAGCGGCATCAGACATGTGCGGGATATGGGCTATATTCGGAAGCGATGATGATGTTGCCATCCAATGTAACGCTGCACATAAGATTACCCACAGAGGGCCGGATGCCTTCCGACTGGAAACGATCCATCACTTCCCAAACTGTGCCCTCGGCTTCCACCGGTTATCCATCGTTGACGATTTAGCGGGAATGCAACCCATGAGAGTTTTTAAGTATCCACACATCTGGTTGATGTACAATGGAGAGATTTATAACCATAAACTTGTAAGTGTACAAGTTCTCTAGATGAAATAAATGGTATATTTTGAGAGAATTTAAGTCAGTCATTTTAATATCTTACATTGATAAGCCAATCTATTAAAAACAATCTCAGGGTTTTTTTCTTTTTCAAAGAGCAACAGTTAGAGGTCTATTTAATTATAATATGAAACTACTAGCACCCCCCCCCCCCCCCCAAAAAAAATAAAATTAAGAACTTTCAAATTCATATTGACAATCATTCTTGTTTCAAGATTCAGTTAACCCGATTTTACCAAAATACTGATTCTATCATAACCTTTAATAAAGCTGGAGGAGCAGTTTAACTTTGACACCTCTACTGAGTGTGACGGGGAGGTTATTATTCACCTGTACGCTCATGGAGGCGCTGAGTATGCCGCGAAACATTTGGACGGCGTGTTCGCCTTCATCATCTTAGACACAGCAGAACGCAAGCTATACGTAGGTCGGGACACATTTGGCGTTAGACCATTGTTCAAAGCTTATATAGAAGATAAGAAATTCCTCGCCATCTGCTCAGAAGCAAAAGGTAACTGTATACAGAATCAAAAGTACAGAGCATATTAAATGAAGTAGTTTCGAGAATAAGAATCATATATGTGGTAAATATCCACAGCTTCTTGTAAATTGTTTAGAATGCTTAGATTTTCGGGCTAAATAGTTATTTTTTTCGCAGGTCTGATGCCCTTAAAGCAGGTGTCCGATAGCGGTGTAGAGATAACACCTTTCCCTCCTGGTCATGTGGAAGCATATAGCCTCGATTTGAATGGAAGGGCTACATATATAAACACTACACGTTTCAATAAAATTGGAGAATGTCCAGCATATAAAACAATAGTTAATCCTATAGGTTTGTAATTATGCAAAAAAACAATAATGAATATTGTGTTGGCATATACGTATGTAACTTGATGCAGTGAATTTCAATTGAGATGAATTTAACGTAGATGATGACATTCTCGCTAGCATACGAGACCTGCTGGAGGCTGCAGTACAGAAGAGGACTATGGCAGAAAGGCGGATCGGCTGCTTGTTGTCCGGTAATCACCAAGTACATACTAGTAAAAATTCACTCTACGTCTTTTTCTGTGTGTGGATACCGAATTTTTATCTTTCCTACTTGTAGGTGGTCTTGATTCTAGTTTAGTTTCTGCTTTATTTGCAAGAAAAGCCAAAGAGCTTGGAATTAAGTATCCCATACAAACATTTTCTATCGGTATGGAAGGGAGCCCAGATTTGTTAGCGGCAAGGAAGGTACTTGTATGAATTACACTATGACATTATCAAGTTAAAATGTAATGTCTGTTATAATAATGGCGTTGTTTACACAGGTTGCTAACCACATAGGGACTGAGCACCACGAGATTGTATTTACTCCAGATGAGGGCATTGAGTGTCTGGAATCAGTCATATTTCACCTGGAGAGTTATGACATTACAACAGTCAGAGCATCTGTTGGTATGTCATTTTACTCTCAGATTTATTATAGAAAAACTTGAAGTTGAAAGGTATTGTTTGTGTTTGTTAACTTCTCCTCACCTTCGAAAATTTTCACGCATATCGAGGCGCATCACTTGTGGATTGGTGGCAGCAAATTCAGACTGCGTAGGACTGCATTTGTCAAACCGGCGTACGACATATTAGTATGTGCCGCTTAACTCTTGGAAAACTCGTTACTTCATTTGACCGGGGAACGTAACCCGGTGTAACGTAGAATTTTGACCGGGGTTGAAAACAACCTTGGGGGATCAGGATTCAACGATAAAATTAGATTGATCCCAAAGATGCTGAATTAGATCCTACGGTCCGTTGAGGCGCGTCGTGGAATTTTGATTATGAAACTGGATCTAAATTCAACAACATTAAAACACTTACTGTATTAATGAATTGATTATGAAACTGGATCTAAATTCAACAACATCAAAACACATACTGTATTAATGAATTGATATTTAAAGCTATGTTTTTTTTTTCTCTCGATATATTTACATTTAATTCAGTTTAATTCTTTAGATCTTCAACTTCAAGTGAACAGTCAGTACAAACGACAAAACATTAATTTTAAAAACAATTCAAAGAGGAAGGTCTAGCATTTTCTTAAGAACTTTTATGCAAATTATTTCTTTGTAGTGAATGTTTCGCGAATAATCGCAGTGATTTGTATAATATAATTTATATTAAATAATAGTTCACGACTTTTGGTCTTGCACTTTTTGACAACGTCGAAAAATACGTATATATCCTGTTTAATATTCGACTTAATGACCAGGCATAAAAAAATCGATATTTTGCCATACAATTTTTAATGATATAACAAAATAATATGCCAGAATAAAAAGGAAAAGGTATAACAAATCATTTATTGTCTGTGTTCTCGGGGAAAATATGTTTTGTCTACCCTCAAACCAAACTGTTTGGTTCTTGGATCCGACCTATTACATGTTGCCCTCGAACACCGTCAATAAGTGTATTTTGTTTTACGGTACCTTTGAAATTTGTGTCCTATATAAATCTGTGTTCGAGGGCAATATGTGTTTTGTCGGACCCAAGAATCAATTTGCCTGAGGCTGTTAGACCATATGGCTGACGCAATTCGATGCAAGACGATCTGTTACAATATATATACTCGGTACTCAGGGCCATGAAGCAGTCATTCTTTTTTTCGTGCCAGCATGTACTG